AAAAAAAAAAAAAAAAAAAAAAAAAAAAAACGAAAGCGCCAATTTTACTTTGAACTTTCATTACTTTTTAAGCAGATTTATATTTATTTTTATATAAAAAATTTCCATTAACGTTTAAAAAATAATAACAACAGACTTTGTCTTCATCTTATTTTTATAAGCTTTTTTCTTTTCTTTATAAATTATTTTCGATTACCTTTGATCTTGCATTAACAAGATCTGGTTATCACTCTATATAGTATCATATCATTTACCTCAATCATTTTACTTTTTTTTTTTTTATCAAAGCTTGAGTTAAATCCTCTAGTCAAACATTAACCATAAGCTATATGTATCATTAAGGTATTATGAGCCAAAGCTGATATTTCTTATATCTTATATCTTGACCTCATCAATTGTCTTTGTCTCTTAAAATCTGACATATTCAATTCAATAGTATTTTTTTTTTGTTACTACTTCCATAAAAACCTCTTTTAATTTTCAACTCTAAATTTGCATTTAGCACACTGTATGGCACGAATGCTATACCAGACCGCAATCATGACTTGTACAGCCCATTCGGCTGCACTTGACTCCAAATGCTAAACAAAAGTCAGATCATGTTTGTGTGCTTTTTATGGATATTTTAGCAGATAAAAAGAGCAATCAAAAGTCCCCAGTTGATGCCCTAATCAATATCTATCTCTTCATACTCAATTTTTATTGATTCTTGGTACAGAATGGAGTGCTTGCACCAAAATAATAAACAAAGTAGCTATTCTGTTTAATAAAGCCTTCAATTCATTTTTGAGCCTTGTTGCCCTTTGTCTTTTATTTCTGATAAATTAAACGCGATCAGTTGCTTGGTCTGAGTTGTAGGATTGTAAATTTTAGGTTGGCTGATGTTGTAAACTATAATTTATAAATCTGAGTCGAGTAGCGACTGTTATGTTTTAGCAGATTAAAGAGGTAATTGAATTATATAAATAGGTTACAAAATAAAAATGGGTCTAAAGAAAGGTAAACGAGATTTTGTAAACTGTGAGTCTATGTTTTATGTTGAACCAGAGTAGCAGTAAAGAGATTTATTGAATACATAAATAGAGAGTAGTAAATTGATTGTTTTTAATAATGCTGTCCAAAAGGATAAGTTAATAAAGTAGTTGCACTTTTCCAAATAACAGTTTTGTATTTAAGGATTAGTCATAGCTGGCTGCCTGTTGTATCATCACAGCAATGTTGATAAACATACCTAACAATAGACATGGTATAGACAACCGTCCAAGGCGCCAAAGGATATAGCGACTACGTTCTTTGTGTATCATGGGTATACAAGGAACAGGATCAATAGTAGCTGTAGTGACAAAGTGAGAGGTGCTTTAATCCATGGCTGTAAATTTTTTTGTCGCAAACACTACTGAGTTTAGTCTCTTTTTAATAGAGAGAGAGGTATAAATTGTCAAGTAATCAAATGATACAGACAGTTACTATCATAGTGTCGTTTTGGGAAGGATGAACAGTTGGTGTCCTCGAGAATGCTGTATATGAAGGGAGGGGATAGTCAAGGAGCAAAAGAGGAATTGAGAATATGTGATATGTACTCTTTCGACTATAAATGTACTGTTTGTAAAATGTAGCATAGCCTGATAGAAGGTTGATCGTATGCACATATTCGTTTTGAGTATTCTCACGCAAAATTGTCTAGGTAAGTACAACCACTGTTTTTGTTACACCACGATATCCGTTTTATTAACACACATATATGTCATCAATTCAATATCCGCTCATAGGCCAATGATACAAATGCTCTTTCTGGAAATGGCGACATTTGATTTGTCAATAAGGGTATTTTAGACGCTCTAAGAACAGTGCGACTTCGATCTCCACCGGGAATGACATTATTTTCCGGAAAGAGCGTATAAGAGTAAACTTTTCTGGGTGCGAACACAAAAGGACATTGAATGTTTAGACTTTTTGCTCTTTCTTGTCTTCATTCTATGTAAAGCATTTTTTAATAGCGTTTATTGTCTAATAAAAAGCATTCTAAAACACCCTTTTTTATTAATAATAGTCGTCCTTATCCTTTGCATAACAATAGATCAAGACTTATATTTAGATCAGCTTCTGAAATGATTACAACTAAAGAAATACCTTCATCATCTACTTCAGATTGGGAACTTGTTGGAAGCTACTGGTTATATAAAAAACCTTTGGAAAAGTCAGATAATGACGATCGTGATTATCGTCTAATCAAACTAGCTTCAAACGAACTTCAAGTATTATTAGTGCATGATAAAAGCACAGATAAAGCAAGCGCTGCCTTGGATGTACACGTTGGTCATATCAGTGACCCGGTAAGAATGAAGTTTTATGCATGTTCTATTAATAGTTTATTTGCGTATGTATAGCCTACTCTACAGGGATTAGCTCATTTTTGTGAGCATTTGTTATTTATGGGAACAGAAAAGTATCCTAAAGAAAATGATTATAATCAATACTTGTCAGAACACTCTGGTTTCTCTAATGCTTTTACTTCAGTCGAAGATACAAACTATTATTTTGAAGTCGCACATTCTCACCTCGAAGGTGCACTGGATCGCTTTGCCCAGTTTTTCATTAGTCCTTTATTCTCGGATAGTTGTACTGAAAGGGAACTAAAGGCTGTTGACTCAGGTAACAACGTGCTACACTTTAAAGAATCATATAATTAAGTATTCTAAATAGAACACAAAAAGAATAAGCAGCAAGATAGCTGGCGTATCTTTCAACTGGAAAAATCCCTTTGTAATCCAAGCCATCCTTATTGCAACTTTGGTACTGGTAACCTTGAGACATTATACGAGAATCCCAAAGCGAATGGACAGGATATTCGTCAAGAGTTATTGAAATTTCATGATACATATTACTCTGCAAATATCATGAAACTTTGTATTCTTGGAAGAGGTATTTACATAGCAAAAATATATTAGGCGTGTATGCTGATTCTTTGTTACAAGAATCGCTTGATCAATTGACAGAATGGGCTGTTGAGAAATTCAGGGATGTTCGTAACAAGAGCATCGAGCCTCCTAGTTTCCCTGATAACCCATTGACAAAGAAAGAGCTCATGGTAGAAAATGATTACATTGTTTGGTATGTTTTATTTACATGCTTATTTAGAAACAAATATTCATCAAGCCTGTCAAGGATGTTCGCATACTCGAAATGACATTTCCATTTCCTGATCAACGTCCTTTATATGCTGTTCAGGTAAATTTTCTTGTTGAAGTAGCTGAATTTCTGCTAAAATGCATACATGATATAGCCCGGTAGATACTTGTCTCACTTGATCGGACATGAAGGGCATGGATCTATTTTATCCTTGTTAAAGAAGAACGGTTGGGCAAACTATCTTCAGGTGGCTACATCCCATGGCGGTATCGGATTCGAGTTTATGAGAATCAGTATTGATCTTACAGAAGAGGGATTGAGTAAGTATTTCATAATGACATGGGTTTTCTTTATGGAAAGAAAAGGGGTGCTAATAGATTATTTGAATTATAGATCGCTATAAGGATGTGGTGGTTATTGTCTTCAAGTACATTGATCTCTTAAAAAAGAAAGGTATTCAAAGCCGCATCTTTGAAGAAGTACAATCATTAGCGTCCTTGGCATTCAGGTTCAAGGAGAAACAACGACCATCTCAGTATACATCTCGCGTAGCTGGGTTAATGCAGCATGGGTATCCTTCTCAATGTATTCTTAGTGGTCCTAGTTTAATTCGTCACTATGATCCAGATCTGATCAAAGAAAACCTAAACTGGCTTCGCCCCGACAACTTTCGCATTTTGCTAGCCTGCCAAAATCCCCCTGGTGGTGTCCAATTTACACAGAAGGAGCGATGGTATCAGTCAGAGTATACAGTCATTGATTTTGATAATGATTTCATCAATGTATGTGATAAGAAAAAAATACAAGCACAGTATCTTACACAATCATATAGTCTTTGGAGAACCTTGAACCCGAGGATGCTTTGATATTACCTGGTGAGAATGCGTTTATCCCAACTAACTTTGAGATGAACAAGAAGGAGGTCGAAGCGCCTGCCACGAAACCTGATATTGTGGAAAACTCGCCTTTGCTTCGCTTATGGCACAAGAAGGATGATACCTTCTGGGTCCCAAGAGCGAATGTTTGGATATTGCTTCGATCACCGCTTGCCTATGCTACACCTTCCAACTGTGTCAAGACGCGTTTGTACGCCGATTTGCTAAAGGATTCCTTGAATGAGTATGCTTATGACGCTGAAGTTGCTGGATTGGCATACACTATTGAGAATCAACTCGAGGGCATGCTAGTAAGGAATACACGAAATAAGGGAGATTTTAACAGAAGACTTATTGAATTTCATAGCTTGCTATTGGAGGCTATAATGACAAGCTTCCCGTGTTGCTAGAAAAAGTAGTCCAAAAGATGCGCTATTTCGAAGTGGATGTTGAACGATTCAAGTTACTCAAGGAGCAACTTCTCCGAATCTACAAAAACTTTGCGCTCGAACCCCCTTATCAGCATGCACTGTACTATCACTCCTATTTGACACAAGACACGATGTGGACGAATGCCGAGAAGCTTAAGGAACTTGAAGTGATTACAGCCGAAGACGTCCAATCGTTTTATCCATCTCTGATTTCTCGCTTGCACATTGAGGCGCTTGTTCATGGAAATTTCTCCAGGGAGGATGCTCAAAAGATGCTCCACGACACCATCGATATTTTGAAGCCCAAAGCATTGCAGCCAAGCGAACTAATAGGTAATCGCAGCCTGACGCTTCCTCATGGCAGTAAGTGGGTTTACCAACGTGATGTCGAGGATCCCAATAATGTAAATTCCGGCATCGAATACGTCATCCAAGTGGGCAATATCACAGAGACTTCACTGCGCGCCAAATTGACATTACTGGCGCAGATAGCTCAAGAGCCCTGTTTTGATCAACTTCGCACGAAAGAGCAGCTGGGGTACTTGGTGTTTAGCGGTGTTCGCAAGCAGGTGGGCTCTATGGGTTTGCGATTTATCCTTCAGAGTGAACGAGATACTATCTATCTCGAAAACCGTATTGAGGATTTTCTGGATAAGCTTCGAGCGCTTGTTGAGAAGATGACACCCGAAGAGTACGACGCTCAGGTTCAATCAGTCATTACTAAGAAGCTCGAGAAGGACAAGAATCTGGCGCAAGAGGGCAGCAAGTACTGGTCTCATATCCATTCTGGATTTTACGAATTTGATCAAGCGGAAAAGGATATTAAGGAGTTGAAGGAGATCAAGAAGGAGGATCTCTTGGCGTTCATGTCCGAATACATTGATCCTTGCTCGTCCAAGTTCCGCAAGCTCTCTGTCCACATTCAGTCTCAAAAGGCTCAGACAGCACAGCCCAAGAAGTTCAAGGTCAACATTGAATCATTGCACACTTGCCTTGTCTCTCAAGGTGTCACCCGTCTGAGCATTGAGGATATCCGCTCTGCTGTCGAAAAGGGTGATGCAGGTGAAGCCAGCATCGAAGCCAACCTTCGCGAACTGTTGACAGATGAAACGAAGGCAGAGGAAGAGGAAATCGAAGCACTGATGGCCAAATTGGTCACAGCTATGCGTGAAACCGAATCGGTTGATGGGTCTTTGGTGAATGTCAAAAGTCAAAAGACAGCACGTCGTTTGTCAATGGTTAGTCGACAGCTAAATAATAATGACAGCGACCAAGATCAAAAAGAAAGAGATCACACAAAACTCCCTGAAGGAAACAAGATTGTAACAAACGTGAGAGAGTTTAAGAACAGCTTAGAATTGAGCCCAGCTCCTTGTCCTTTAATTGATTTTCAAGTTATTTAAATGTTTGTAACGATAATAATAATAATAAAGAAAGTCGTATGCAGCGGTTGTATTTTATTTACAGCTTTGGATGATATACTAAAGGAACATACTGAGGCTCATAAGCCGTGTTCTTGACCAGTTCACTAAGCAGTTCTCCTTCTTTTAGGGCAGCATTGGCAACACCATCTTCAAAAGCAACTTCACAAACTCGAGTACCGATTCTGAATGAAACCTCTCTGAGATGATCAACGTGAGGAAAGAGTTGACCCTGTTTCAGCTGACTCTCGCTTGCCATTTCCGCCAAGGTACGCCCAGCCTCAAGAAACATTCTGTCTGTTACTTTAGTTGCCTTTGATACGACTACACCAAGACCAACTCCCTATGAAAAGCAGATGAGTAAGCCAAGCACAAGATAATCCATGATGCTCTTACAGGAAATGTATATGAGTTGTTACACTGGTTAGTTTTGCCAACTTTTCCGTTTGGAAGACGAACCTCATCAAACTGGGTTCCTGAAGCAAAGATCGCTCGTCCATCAGTCCACTTGAAGGCTTCTTCGGCGGTGCATTCCGAATGGCTATCAGGATTGCTTAATGGGAAAATGACTGGTTTCTCGTAGTGATTTGCCATTTCACGAATCGCCTTTTCAGTGAATACACCGCGGGCGCCAGTAAAGCCTAAGAGAACTGTCGGTTTGACTTGACGGACAACTTCCTCCAGGGATAGTTGATCAGGCAGATCGCGTTTGACGTAAGGTCGTTGCTGCTCACTGACGCTTTGATCACGCTTTTGAGCTGTGCGGTTGTCACTACTAATACTTGGGTTACCCAAGAGACCTGAGCTATCGAGCATATGTATCTTTGAATAGGCCTCTTCGCGACTCTTGACGTGACCCTGATCTACCATGCAGTCAACGATACCTTCACAGACACCAACCCCTGACGTGCCTGCACCCACACAGACAATTCTTTCGTCTGCAAGGTCATCAGGCGTTTTACCTCTGGCCTTTAATGAAGCAAGAATACCTGCCAGGGTAACCGCGGAAGTGCTTTGTATGTCGTCATTAGTGCACGTGATACTATCTCGGTCTATATACATTAGTGTTGCTTCTCTTCATATACATGCAAGGACTTACACCGATTGAGCAGATTGTAAGCATGAGGGTTCTGGAAGTCTTCAAACTGGATCAAGACATCTTTTAAACGTGAGCCTTTTCAAATTATTTGTGGAAATAAAAGTGTTTACCTGGCCAACGACTTTTAACTGCTGTGACCCATTCATCAACAAATTCATAGTACTCATTTCCCGTTAGCCTTGGATGAGGCATTCCAAGATAGAGGGGGTCATTCAGGAGTTCTTTATTGTTTGTGCCCACATCTAAAACGACGGGTAATACAGCCCTTGGCCTAATTCCACCTGCAGCCACATACTATAGATTGAAATTAAATTAAATAAAAAGGGTTACCAGGGTAACTTACCAGACTTAGTTTTCCTATAGGAATCTGCATGCCGTTTGCTCCCAAGTCACCGAGGCCCAGAATACGAGAGCCATCTGTGACAACAATGACGTCGACTTCGTCTTGTGGCCAGTTATAGACCATTGCAGACATCTGGCCTCTATCCTGCGTTGAAAAATACATACCACGGGGTCTACGATAGATGGCGTGAGAGACTTGGCTGGCCTCTCCCACTGTTGGATGATAAGGAAAACAAAGGGAGATAAGTATCCTCAGATTGATAGGATAAAGTTTTTTTTTTAAATACCTGTAGGCGTATATACGATAGAGGCGAGCTCATTCATATGCTTCATCAAGAGCTTATAGTAGAGTGTCTCGTTTCTATCATGTAGGGCGGCTAAATAAATGTACTTTGATAAAGGTGTAGGACAAGCATCCAAGTTCCGTTTAACACGCAATAATTGTTTTTCCATTTCTTGATGACGAGGAGGTAGGAGTCCTCTGATGGCCAAACGCTCTCGTTCGTCGAGCGTGAATGCGGTGCCTTTGGATAAAAGAGGGTCGTGAATAACATTAGATCCTCGTTCGTTTGTCACATAAACTGCCTTCTCCACACGAGGATCTGTATGTGAATGAAAAGGTCGGTATAGTTTGGTAAAGGGACCACATCTTTGGTGTAGAGTCCTAACTAGCCTTGTAGCAGAGAGCATGAAGAGTTTAAAAAAAGGAAAATAAGAAGAAAGAGAATATGTTTTTATTGCAAAAAGAATAGGAAAAAAATAGATTAGAGTTGTATACGTATATAATGATGACGCTGATATGAAACAATAAAAAAGGGAAATGTCCCTTCGACTGTCATGATTTTTGCATGACTATTTCTTGAAGCACGCTCATCCCACTTTTGGTGCTTGCCTAAAAGAATACTTATCGCTTGGAGACAGCTCTACCTTAAAAGGATATTTGTCTATGACAATAACAAAAGAATACATGAATTGAACCGAAAATAACTTCAACTAGGATACGTCAGCTGCTGTAAAGCAACAAAACTGTAATGACAAGATAATACTATTACACTCAATGTTGAATAACCTTGCTGTAAAAAGTATTTGTATCATCTCACTGCTAGAGAAGGTAAATGAACAAGGTATGTGCCATCAATTTTTTCAATAGTTAATCAATACCCAAAAGGACAATGGAAGATGAGTTGGCATGAGTTATCTACAGCCTTTATTTTAATATAAAACTTGGGCTTAAAAAGCTTTCAACAACTTACACCCTTGTGCAACTGATTGTTATCGACCAAGGCAGGTCATCCAATGGATATAGACAATATAAGAGTGCTAATCAAAAAAAAAAAAAAAAAAAAAAAAAAAAAACACAGAATTGGGTCATTAATACAATGATGACTTTATCAAATGTGCCATAATGAATAAATGAACTAGCCACAGTTATCAAGAGTGATTATGTAAAGTAATTCTGAAAATGTACAAATATACAGTAAAGATAATGTTTTTTATTATTTCGGTTGTCTTGGTAGTCTTGGTATGGGCACTGTTGCTGGTAGAATAGTACGACTTTCAGCTAATTTTTCTAATCGTAGTAATCTTTTTTTATTTGCTCCTCTTGGTGCTGTCAAATCTTTCCAGACAAAGCAAGAATTGCCTGCCAGTTGTTTCTTAGGTTTACGACCTCTTTTCTTTTTGGGTATACTAAGGGTCATGTCCATATTTGTACTCGTAAATGTGCTGATAGCATTATTGTCTGTGAAAGAAGGGCGGATGGATTGATGTTTTTGATTTCTTAATTCGAAGTTTTTATTCTTTACATCCCAAACGGTTGGTTTAATAAATGTCCAGTGGGCATTGTCTGTTGTTTGAGATTCAGGACGTGATGTATTAGGCGGTCTTCCTCTTTTTCTTTTTGGGCCAAACAATGGATTATATTCTTCCTCTTCTTTCTCTAAATCTAACGTAGGTGGTTCAGACAGAGATCTGAAACTATAAGATGGAGAGCAGGTAGGAGAAGAGGTATTGGATGATGCAGAACGACAACGGCGAAAGGATGATGCTGATATTGTTGATGATGATGATGATGTAGGTAAAGGAGGTGCTAATAGATTGTTGTGTTCTATGGGTGATAATAAAGGAGAGATAGGTGATAGTGCTGAAGAAGGAGAGGATAGAGATGGTGATGTGAGTATAGTTAAGTGTGGTTGAGGCTCCAATGTATTTAGCTTTTTAGTCTGATCGTCCGTGGTTAAGCAAACTATAGGTAGCTGATCGTTTTTGATTGGCTCATTTAAATCATAAAGTGAATCAATCGAAGGCAGTTTGCATTCTTTTGGTGAAGGTGGATGTAAATAAACTTGAATTGAATTTGACATTAAACAAAAGAGTAAAAAGTAAAAAGAAAGAAAGAGAAAGAGAGAAAGAGAGAGAAAGGATAGAATTTGAAGAAAAGAATAAATTCAAATTTACTATATTTGGATATTTAAATTGAGGGCAGAAATTTGAGAAAGTTCTGTAGTTGTACATTTTGTATATTTATATTTTTTCCATTTCTGCTATTTTTTACTTTTTAAAAATACTAATCCTCATACGTGCATATGTGTCACCATTCCATGAGAATAGCTGCTATTTACCAGGTTTATTTATTCTTATTCTATATTCTTTTTATTGGATAACGTGATAAAAAACAGAAACGTAATTACTAAATAAAGAAAAATATTTTTTCCTTTTTTAATTAAAGGATTTACAGTCTAAAGATTTACCGATACACAAAATACAAGCACATTGATACTCAGATCATTATTGTCATTGGACAACAAAAAGGAGTTGCTTGAAATACAATTACCATGGAGACACTGTACATCACACAAATTAGGTCTAATTGAGATGTATCTTTTTGCATAAAAGGCCAATAGAGAGAATGCAAGCAAACATATGTTTTGTGTTTTTTTTTCTGTTTATTCTAAATTATGTATATATCCAACTGTTTACTGCCTTATCATTCTGTTTTTTATGTGCAGGCTACTGCTTCAATATCAATAACAAATGATTGGTCAAGTTGGACTGTAGTTCTTGTGTTTGATGACATGAAGGCAAATTGATAGACGCATGCACACGTAAGAATACTCTTATCATTGTTATGATGAAGAGGTACTTGTTTAAACAAGTCATCAACAAAGGCATATTCTGTATATGCATTAAAGAATAAATGTTTATTTCCATTAAGGAAAGTATTATTATTTGCTGTTTACCAAAAGATAATTGTGGTTCGGTTGCTGAATGCATTTTATCGGCATAAAACGTTCTACATCCCTCTGCATCAATACATCAGACTGCCTTGTATAATCTTGGCGTGCTGTAAATAAAAATGCTTGAGTTAATTTAAACAAGACACAAACAAAAGTGAATAGAGCCTGCTGTTGCCTTATTTAGTCATTATACAGTGCTTCCAACAAGCAATGTCGCGGGCAGTCAAAATTGATATTTTTTTAGTTTCTGATCTCGTCTGGGCGATCTTTTATTGCGCTCAACAGGACGTTACATTAAATAAAATCCGTTATTTTCACCAAAATCGATGTCGTTTGCTGATCAAAATTAAATTCGCGTTTTCAGAAAGGCAAGTCTCATCGCTGGAAATGATACCATCCTGAATTGCCCACTCTATGCTAACGGCATAGCCTTCATCGTCAAACACTCAAATATGGTTGATCTACTGCAATAATGCGAAAAAATAATAGTATGCAAATGTGATACAAATGGAACCCATCTAAATGTGTGATTTTGGACAGTATCACGGATCCAATTACATATACACTTTATGAGCAGCCATTACCAAGAGAAACCACATTTGCATATATTGACGTTCCCTTCAAATCGAGTGGGTATATCGATTCAGAAAAGCTAATTCAACATAATACTCACAAGACTCTTGCAACGATGAACATGCTGTCATCTGTTGGCGTGAATCTTTCCGGTTTCTTCAAGCTTTTTTGCATCAGGTTTTACGCATACATCGTTTAACTTTAGCTTGAATATGACCTAGCCATCAATAACTTCACGGCCTCTCAACTTCGCGTCCTAGAGGAAGCCCAGAATAATTGCATCAAGAAAATCTATGGCGCTCGAGGCAAAGCGTCCACTAAGGCTATGCTCCACACGTCCAAGTTGCCCCTCATATCGGAATGAGCCAGTATACTACAGGTACGGTTCCTCTTTCGTTCCTTATATTTGTCAGAAGATGCACTGCTTGCTTGTCTGTTACCCTATATCCACAGTACCAGAGGAAGCCAGTGGTACACACTCTCTCGTACATCGCTTTGGAAAACGGTGCTGCCTACTGCTGAAGAGCCCGATACTCGCTCGCTCAAGGCTGCTAAATGACGCTTTTTGCAACAGAATCTAGAGATTCGCCAACGATGCCGAAACTCCAAACTGCTTTCTAGCTGCCGTCGATCGATCTCTCTGGATCCTATGCTCTGGTTGCTGTATCTAAGTCAGAGCGCAGTCGCTGCATACGCTGAAGACTATACTGGCTCCTGGTGGAAAACCTCGACCATGTTTTAGGAGTCCAACGAGACAGCTCTCTAAGAACCACAGCTATCAATTGCCTTGATATGCACCGATGTCTGTTTATATTAAATGTAAAGAATTGAAAAAAAGTACCACGTCTTGAAAAAAGGAAACATCTGCTTTTGGAGTTTTTTCTAGAGCCAAGGAATCATTGTGGCACGGCATCATTTTCAACAGCAAGCGACATGGCCTCTAAAAATACGACTCGCCTTTCAGATAACGCAAATTTGGTCAATAGACCAGAAGATAAGCCAACAAGGAAGGATATATGCTGTGATCTTTTTATTTAAAATAGCGAAAACTTAAAACCAATAAAACCAATAAAAGAAATACAACGACAGTAGTTATAATTTAATCTTGATGAACCGGATCTTGATGAGTGGATGGGTGATATCCTTCCTTGTTGGCTCTATCTGACCGTCTCGTAAAATTCTCCAGAGAATTCATTAGATGAAGAATTGATTTTGATCAGCAAACGACATCGATGCTGACTGGCTAGGTTGGTGGAAGTACTGTGTATTCATTTATTGACAAGCAGTGCATATAGTAATATATGTACTTGCCTCTGCTGTTAGCCAAATTATCATTTGCCAATATGCATACCATATAAGCATACCTGCATAGGTCTAGACAAAAGAAAGCCTCATAAAAAAAAAACTGAAATTTATGCTCCCAGTTGAAGTGCAATAGTAATAAAATAGTTTGTGCTTTATACAGAAGAGACTTTTTGCTTAACAATAAATACGACCTGTTATTGTTTAGTGTAACTGCTGACTTGTTTTATTTAAAATAAACGATCTAAGCCCACTTTTATATTTGTTAAGAAGGGACTTATTTTTGTTCTTCAACTGCAAATGCGTTTCTGCCTCTAACGTATGCCTTAATAACATCACCAAAGCTCTTGCCTTGAATATGCGCTATTTCTAGTTCTTTAGCACTTGGTTCTCTTGAGCCATCTCCTCCAGCAACAGTTCCCGCACCATAGGCTGATCCACCAACAATCTCCGACATGTCATTCAACTGAGCAGGATATCCAAGAGGGACATAGATCATACCTTGATGGGCAAAGTAAGTGACTGTAGTTAATGCGGTTGTTTCTTGACCGCCATGCTGTATATGGGTGAGTAACGCTGCAGTTATGCCTTTTATTCTTTTTTTACCTGAGAACCAGTACTAAAAAAAGTTCCTCCAAGCTTTCCACGAAGCGCGCCTGTAGCAAAAGCTGCTCCAGTACCATCCAACAATCTGTAAAATTATAAGCTTCTATTTCTCTATTAGATAATGCTCAACTTACGCTTTCATTTGGCTTGGCATCGTTCCAAATCTTTGGAATATGAATATTTAGATTTGTGTGTATATAAATCACCATTAAATTTACCTTGTGGGGAAACCAAGAATGATACCATCTGCTTCATTCAATTGTTCAGGTCTGATAACTGGTAATTCAGGCTTAGGAGGTGCTCTAATTTTTTGCAATACGCTTTCAGGAAGCGTTTCCTGTACTTTATTCGTTCTTTAATTACTGTGTCACTTATTTCTTGTATACTTACCTTGGAACATCTTAGCAGCAACGCCACTAGCTTCTAATCCCTTTTGTACTTCAACGCCAAGCTTGTATACATGGTGATAAACCGTGTAGATAACAACATATACTTTAGCCTTTTGAGACATTTTTGTTTAATGCAGAAAGAAAGTCAGATCGAGGGTTGCTATCGGCTTTTTAAATAGGTCAAATTTCATTTGATTATAAATTTTATCATTTACAATTAATAATGATATTTTTAAGCTGCTTTTTATTGATCACCCCGCGTAAACTAAAAATGCTCCAATCTAGAGGCGAGCGCAAAAAAAAAGGGAAAGAGAGATATGCATTATTAATACAGTTTTGCTTGAGCTATATAGCTGTGGATTTCTTATATCATCAGAAATGCTCTGCTTAATGAGAAGGGTGTTCCTCGAAATACGCTCTTCTAATGGTTCTTCCAGATGAAAGCCAGAGCAATGATTAGTACTATTGCCCCGTCAGTTCATACATCATTACAATATGACACTGCTATAAAGCTTGTAATGTCTCTTTGATATTCTCAATATTCACTGTAGGTCAAAGGATTTTTCTGATTACAGCTTGTTACACCGGGAATCTCAGGGGATAAGAGAAGAAAAGATGGTCGAATGAGTCAATATATACTGAGAAAAATGTGCAATATGATGAGGGATCTTGCTGTGATTGAATTTATATACGATACTCCTTTGTAGGGTGGTCAATGGGAGGAGCCAGAAAGCAGAAGTGGTGAGCCTTGACAAAAAGACCAAAGTCTGCGCCATGAATGTTATCCGAAAGATTTTAGCATTCACATATCTAAAGTTCTTGTTCAATGGTAGACGAAAGTGTAGTTCGTTTAGAAAGCTATTAAACGAGTCTGTGTATCGCTGCGTCTGGATGGTTCCGGAAAGCAGTGGCTGTCAAAGAAAGCGTGGATTTGTAAGGCTGTAGAAAGCTGGCAACGGTTTCCTGTAGTTGAGAATGGCGTTGCTGACATTTCTACAGCATTGATTGCTTGACGATACTGAGACGTTTAGTTGAATAGGAGCCTTACCTTGCTTGCTTAGGGTTGCTGCTTCTTTATGTGCTTGCTAAAGCTCAGCTTTAGTTTGCTCCAATTCAGTATGAAGTTGTTCAATGTGTCATATTTCTACGTGTATATCGAAGAAGATTACACCATTTGAAGTGATATAACCAATATACAAATTTCATACATAAGCCAAAGTCATCTTAAGTATTAACATAATGCCTGCTATTAAGCCCACAACAATGATTCATGACGCCTATAGTCTGTAGTAGTTGATGACACGTTATATGATATAATTCACAAGATGTAGCTGCTTGACAACATTTATTCTTGCATATAACGATCAGTTTCCTTTTCCCTATAAATCTCTTTCTTTTCTGTTTTCTTAAAAAGACTTATTCCATCTTGTGATCATTTTATGTTTCTAAGGTAAAACTACTTATTCACCAATTATCCCAATAAGTCTGATGGGTTGATTAAGCTTTTTGGCTTAAATAAGTTAGAAATACTATTATTGGAAACTTCTGGGCGCTTCATCAACAAGGATGAAGAGAAAATTAAGTTGGACCATCATATAATAAATATATGGAAAGTCACAGCACAAGATCCATCCAATGCCACAGTGTTTTCATCAGTATATCGATGCATACATAGATTATGTAAGTGCCTATTCCACATCAATAACATTTTTGCGCCTAGGACGATTTAACAAAGGTAAAGAAAAATATTAGATCTCTTTCCTCATTATTAGCAATGGATCATCATAACATCATTCATTTGGAGTTCTTGGAACAACTCTTGATTCAGCTGTAAGTTAAATGCATACCATAATAAACTTTATCAATTAACTCATACTTTTATAGACATAAAGTCGTATTCTAACCATATAGATCATAACTCAAGTAAAGACGCCTTCAATTAACTCTTTGTGTAGCCCTACCTGGATATAGTTGCCAAGATGACAAACGTTGATGGCTGTAACTCTGACTTTGTGCAGGGTCAACCTTATCTAGAAAGCATGAGCCGGCAATTAAAGGATGTCAATCTCTATGTAGATGACAGAAAGCAGCATAAGTCCGATGGGTTGATCAAGCTTTTTGGCTTGAATAAATTAGAATTGTTGTTGTTAGAAGCACCTGGCTGCTTCTCTAATAAAGATGAAAAGAAGATAAAACTCGGCTATCACAAATGTGTGTACGGTTCATTGACTATACTCGAATGCATAACCGACGACTATGCTTACGCCTCTCTGAATATCTTCACCTTGGTGAAGGTATTTTTCCTTCAAGCAGTAGGTAAATTTTTCAAAAAATAAACGCAGAGTTACACCTTTGGAGCGTCTACTTCCAGAAGGAAAACGTGTTTGACCTCTGGAGAGAGACAAACATCAAAATTAAGCCGGATTTCCAATACATTTGCAAAAAAGAAAACTAACGATGTTGCCAAAATTAAGTATGTAATGGAGAAATCCATAAAAAACATTGTGGCCCTTAGAGAACAACATAGACAAGCAAAGTCTAAATACAGATGCCGTTTTGATTGCCCAAGCTTTATAAGTGACGTGATCAATCCAATCATATTGAAATTGACAAAGAAGATGGCCCTGGGGTGAGTAATTTAGGCCCGTACACTCCTCTTTCCATATACAATACGTGTATTCTGTTTTTTCACCTTTTTTCTTTTCATTTATAAACATCATATCTTTATTGAAAACGTATTTTTTTGTGCTTCTGTGATTTCATTATTGTATTTCGTTTATGTTTATTAAAATTAGAATGTGATAAACATCAGCAGCCACTCTTGAAGACAATTCTGTTTATTTGTATCACTCTTTTTTCATGCTGCCTTTAAGACTTAACTGTAAATCAAAGCCTCCCCATAATAAGGTTCCTTAAATATGCACACATCAAATTGATATTTATGTCAATTTTTGCAAGGCGCTTTTTTAGAGAAAGGTGTACACTTTCTCTTTTATTTTTTTCAATCTGCTTTTTTTTTTTTTTTTTTTGATGTAGTATACGAATGTATGAAGCATTGTCATAATTACACAGAAAACATAGCCATAAACTTATATTCACACCTCAATATCATTGTGAACTACAGCATATTGAAAAAGTTTGCTTGATAATAAAGAGCCCTATTGCGAATGATCCTGATCTCCATGGGACCGCCAGAAACTTAAAGAAAAACTTGGTATTTCATTAAGAAATATTGATGAAGAGTTTGGAGGAAGTCATCTCAGATTTCAGAGGATTACCAAGACGATTATATTAAGAAATGCAGCACAGAACAAAACTTATAAGAGTCTGACAATTTTGAAATAACTTCTTCCTGAGTTATATTCACGTTTTTATAATAAAATCGCAGATTTTACATTCTTGATAACTCGCGCTATAGTATATCAATCGAGATACAGATTACAAAAAACCGAATCCTGAATTAAGCGTAATCTATTGGTACAAGCCTTGTGGAAATGTATTGTATAGTTTTCAAGAAAGCCGCAAAAAAGGCGGGGTAAGACATTTTGAATACACTTGCTTTAAAGGTTTCGCGGTTATGCCCTCATCGGAAATTGAATTAAACGAGTCCTCAGCACAGGACCTACTTTCTTTTATTCTTGAACAAATGTCTGGTAAATACAATGTCATTGTGGACATGGATGACGCTGCCTATACGCAGGTAAAGCACTTGAACTGTGTATATATATTTTGCTCTTTATATAAAACTAGTATGTTTAGCCTGCCACTATAGAAAGCGATGGATTAGAATTTCAAGGTAATTTAAACAAAAGAGTACAGAAAAGACTTTAATTTGCAGCATAGACTTTTCCACTTCTAGCACAGGATTAAACAAACGTATGTATATATAATTGTTAAGCAACTGTAAGCTTTTCTAATATCCACTTGCTATAATAGCTCAGGCACCACCTCCACCCCCTTTATTACCAGAAACTGCCACATCATCCAACAGTAATAGTGGCGTTGGAAAGCCTATTTGGTCAGTCGATTATTATGCTAGATTCTTCGATGTGGACACAACTCAGGTCGTTGAAAGATGCTTAAAGTCAATGTATCCTGTAGGTGACTTTGCAGCAGATACGCTCCAAAACCAGCCTGATCTGTATGGGCCTTTTTGGATTGCCACCTCTGTTGTATTTGCAGTATTTGTGTGCTCATCGCTCGCTGGGTCATTGGCTGCTTATATCGCGGGAAAATCACACATTTATGACTTTACATTGCTGAGCTTTGCAGTCATTGTTATCTACATGTACGCCTTCTTATGTCCCGCACTTGTCTGGGCTTCAACCAAATATTTTGGCTGTCAACCCAGCTTGTTGGAAATCATCAACTATTACGGATATGGATTGACGATTTGGATACCAGTTTCGGTAAATAGGATGCTTTAAAGAAAAGGATATAGGACTGAATTATGTATATTGTAGCTACTCTGTATCATACCCTTTGATTATGCTAGATGGGCATTTGTAGGCATAGCTTTCATCATCACTCTGGTCTTTTTAGTGAAAAATCTGTATATTGTTATAGCCAGGACAGATGCAAAGACTTCACGTATCATTTTACTGGCCATCTTATTTGCACACATTGTATTCACTCTGGTCCTCAAGATAGCCTTTTATAGTTATGATTATACAACCACTGTTGACCAGCCTTAAAAATAAAAAAGTGGCTTGATTTTTATGTTTTGCCCTTTTTCTTTTCTCTTTATAATGCCAACGACACCTGTATTCAAGTCCAAGAGACAACAAAAGATCTGGGAACGAGAAAGGCAACAAGTAGAAAACAAAAAGAGAAATGCCAATAGCTATGTCAATCAGGCTCCATTTCGTTACTGTGAGCGAAACTTTAAATCAAGAGTACCTCCTCCAGACTTTACCCATGTTGTCGATTTTAGCAATCTCCCTGGAAACCATACAAAAGAAAATCTTGAGTCGATTGTGCCTATAAAGTTATCTCGTAATCTAAGCGAGCTTTCTGATTTATTCGGTGACCATTTCTGCCAGGATGCATATATATTAAAGCATGTGCCAGGATTGATCATCATTCCTAGCGCTTTCACTCCCAAGGCTCAACGTCACTTGATCAAGCAATGTCTTTCAGTCTATCCTCGTCCACCAAACACGTCAAACCTTGACACGCATTATATTGTTCCTGCCTCGGGTATTTGGCCACTTTACGAGGCACAAGAAAGAGGCGAGCTAACACCTAGCGATCCCGAGTTTTATGTACCAAAGAAAGCACATGTTGACGGTGATGATGGTACTTATAGCGATTCTGAAGATGAAACGAAGCAAGAAACACAAGCGACATGTTCATCTTGTACGCAGATCACTGCCTGCTCTGATGATTTTAAACCCATCGTTGACGAGCCCAAACCTGATCCACCACCAGCACCTGGTGTGCCCTTATTACCTCCATCAGAACTCGTACGTAAAATGCGCTGGATAACACTTGGGTACCAGTATCATTGGCCAACAAAGACGTACCACCTTGATCGTAGATACCCCTTTCCAAAAGATATAGCAGAACTAAGCAAGGCGGTTGTCTATGCTGTAGAAAACATTGGATACGATAATGGTGAAGGTCAAGCTTGGTTGAATAAATACAAAGGAGATGATTTCAATGCAGAAGCTGGCGTCATTAATTATTATCAGTACAGGGATACCCTAATGGGACATGTAGACAGAAGCGAATTGAATATGGATGCACCTTTAGTTTCCTTAAGGTATGTTGTTTATAACAACTAGATATTGAACTCATTCGTCTCTACAGTCTTGGACACTCTTGTATATACTTAATAGGTGGATTGACCAGAGAAACAGTGCCTACCCCTTTGTTATTGAGAAGTGGAGATGTTATCGTCATGACTGGACCATGTAGAAAGGCTTTCCATGGTACAGCCAAAAGAAAAAAAAAAATAGGATATGTACTTTAACTACTAATGATACTACTTTAGGTGTTCCGTTGATCATAGAAGGCTCATTGCCAGACTATTTGTCAAATAACAATGAATATTCAGACTCACCAGACTGGAAGTTATTTGGCGACTTTATGAGCACCAGCCGTATTAACCTTAATATCAGACAAGTCTATCCTCCTGGCGAGAAACAGCAATAGATTGTTTATTCATATACCTTGGGTGAGAGTATCATAAAGACGAATCCTTCACGCTCTAATGCAAACCTTAGATTCAATAAATCTTTTTCTTCTGTACTTTTATCTTGACCGTTCCACATGCCTATCACGGCACCACCACTTCCAGGAAATTTAGCAGCACAGTTGTGCTGTCTAGCTAATTCAATCATTCTCAGGTTGGGAGCACCTACAACTGCATCACCATAGACTTGTCTGCGTAAATCAAAATTAGCAGACATGAGTTGAGCAAATGATTGATGATTATGCGTTTCTAATGCATGTCGAGCCTGGTCTGTAAATGATGCAAACTTTTGCATTGCTTTTATGATCTAGGAAGTCAATGTTTGGTATCTCTTTTCTCTTTTGTTTCACAGAATTGTTTACCTCTTGATCACCATTTAAAAATCGCTGTTTGACTGTGCTATGTACCTTACCGGAATCTTCAGGATCAGCGACGTAGGCTAACCACAGTTTAGGCAGTAAAGAAACATTCAGACGCTCATATTTTCCGTATCCATGTTTCTCCATGTGCTCCTTGTTGAAATCCATATATACTAGCCCACCAAATGACTACGATATGGTTAGTGATTCTGTTTTTATAATGATTTTCTATGTATACCTGAATCACTCTGTCTTGCAATCCAGCAGCAATACCGAGCTCATCCTGTTCAACCTTTAAAACCAAACTCGCTTGCAATTCCAATGGGATTTGCTTCTCAGTGACACCATAAAACACCATCAGTGCCTTCCATAAAGCAGTGATAATAGCTGATGACCCAGCTAAGCCTACTTGTCTAGGAATGTTAGTTTCAAACAGCACGGTGAACCCTTGTTCGGTATTGATGGGTATCTTTTGAGCTTGACAGTGTCGATAAAAGACTTTGCAGCAGGCTTGCAGCAGTCTGTCGCCTGTTTCATATCCATCAATCTCTGACACACCGGCTAAACAAGCCATCGAAAGAAAGCTGTGAGGATCAGAGACTGGGTTGGGTAAAATAGTGATAGTTTCCAGGTCTTCTGGCCTGTTAGGTATGAGGGTGACTTCAGCCCAAAAGTTGGAAATAAGCAGCGACATGGTCTTCCCAAAAAACCCATCACTGGGATTGCCCATCAGGCCCACACGAGCATAAGCTCGTTGGTGAATAGGGTTGGTCTGCAGATGATTGTTCTCTATTCTCAACCGATCACGGAGACAGTCTTGCCAATGGTCAAGATACTCTTGAAAAGAGATGTTTGGATTTGTGTAGGCCATTAGGCGTCCATTTGATACAGGTATTGTCGTCTTTGGGTTCCACTTGTCAAGTTTTTCTAAATGTGCAATATCTTCACAGTCAAGGCCGTATGCTATAGGTATATTTGTATCTGATGTATACAGGGTAAAGCTAGATGCGCGAAACAACTCGTTGTTTAGGTCACTGTCCCAAAGAACAGAAGGAAAAGTAACAACCACATCTTGTTCAAGCAGTTTAACGCGTTTCACAAATGCTACATCTTGAAAAACTCCTTCACTAGTAATATAGAGCTCAGTTAAATACTACCAAAAGAAAAAAAAGAAAAAAAAGAGTACCTGATTCCCTTATTCAACACATTTTCCCGTGAAAAGCCTATTGAGCTTGCCCAGCGTTCATAGTGCTTAAAGCTAATATATACACGTAAATCAATAGTAAAAATGACAGAGGAATATGCCTTACTTGTATGCATCTGTAACAACAAATACTTTTTCAAAAAGCCCCTTCAAATCTTCATACAACCAACTGAGAGCGGGTTTTCCAGAAATTGGTAATAGTCCTTTAGGTACACCTCGATACTTTAGATATCTTGGGTCATAGATAGACTAGAACTATGTTGGTTATATTCAGAAAAAGAGAGAAGTGTGTATTTACTTTGATATCAATTTCGACTTGGTTTCCTTTTGTTGATGAGGCTACGATAATAAGTACCTTGTTACTCATAGCAAATGAAAAAGAAAAAGAACAAAAATCTAAGTTTGGCTCGGAGCAGTAAAAAAAGGAAGCATGAATTAACCAAATGGGGTAATTTGCGGAGGATTTTCCTGTAGAAAGGCTCCGCGTTTATTTGAATATAGTCATCTTTAACTGCATACGTCTATTTTATATTTTATAGTAGTAAAATATTAAATGCAAGGGAATAATATTGTAATGTTGTTCATAGTTTCTCTTTTAGCAACGCGTCTTTTCGATTATACCAACGCACGACTTCTTCGTAAATAGTCCAAGAAATAGCTGAATTCAAAGGTTTTCTGATCAGTCTTACACTGATTCCATCAAAGAATCCCATGATGCCTTCCTCCTGTCATTCTTTTCTTAGTTGATGCAATTCATTGTATGAATCATTCTCTTACCATGTACACTTTTCTTGCTGACTGCACCAAGTTTTTATAGATTGTAGGTTTTAATTGCATACGAGTCTTTAACATATCAAAAGGCTGCGTGATACATGTAGCAGCTATGCCTGCAGTTACTCCCGAACTCAAGTTGATAAGTGCGTTGGCTACAGGCTTATGATGGATACTTGCATATTCTTTTTAAAAACTATCAGCTTCTCTTCTTTTCTTTTAAAAGATATATATAATTACCGTTAGCCCATGACTTGAATCCTTCATAAAAAAATAAATAGATTCCAGCAAAGGGTGCGTCACGAATAAACGTGGCTCCATATCCAGCAAATAAACCTATATATATTGAACATATCAGTTTTCCCAACTAAAACAAAGGGACAACCCCATATTTACCTCTAACGCCATCCTTCTTGATGATAGATGTAAAAGCTTGTGATAAACTTGTATAATTATAAAAGTTGCTCTATAGGATCGTTTATCATTCGTGCATAAGCCTTGTCACTTTCCTTACCTCATATCTCACTTTGACTACAGTAATGGGCATCATGATATATCCTACTGCCCCTCTTGCTACTGAACCCGAGACTAAATTCTCCCAGCGATGAGTGTCTTTACTATTCGTTACCGCAGGCTTCCACATGGCCCTTGTATTTGAGACAATTTCTCGAATTTCAGATAGAGCAAAGAAATAAAGCGCAGAACCAGGTACATTTCTATATTAACATACACTTGTTTCTTTATTACACCAAGTATATCAATAACCCTTGCTTTTTCCTTACCTCATAATAGTTGGTACTGTTCCTCTCCATAGTCCACCATAACCGTTATGCTGTACGACATCTTTGATAGTCGAATATATATTGCTAACAGTAAATATTTAAGTAGGTGATTTACTTTTTGTATGTATGTTAGGGTACCTTTTATAAGGTGCTACTTTTAACCCTTTTGTTTTTGCTTCTTTTAAAAAGGCCAGGTGATCTTGTCGCTGTTGTTGCAATCTAGTTTTAATCAAATCAAGCGGTTGTAAGGCAACACAGGCTGTCATGCCTGATAATGCACCGCCTGTCAGGTGTAAAATGGGTGTTTGTTTCTTGTCTTGATTTGACATTTAGAGGGAATAATAATAATAAAGGGAAAAAGAAAAATGGGCAATACATGTCTGTAAATAAACATTCATGCACTGGGTTCATGACGGCTTTTTTTTGGAGGTTGACTCATCTCGGAATGATTTCTTCTCGTTAAAAATAGGAATGATCTGCCCCTCAGAGAGAAAGGAAAATATGAGAAACAGCGGTTAAATTATGAAAGACAATGTGATATTTTCTTGCTTTCTAGGTTTTGGCGGCAATAGTCTTTATCTTCCAAAGCTATTGCCGCTCATTGTTCTTCTTTTACACTCACTCGCTACGCGTTTGTCCGGTCATTGTCTATCTTTTAAGTCTAATTTATCCGAACCAATCAAAAGGTTGCGTACAGACATTTACTCCTAGTAAATAATGTTAGAGTTACAGCGACAATATGACGATTGCCATGGTAATAATGATACTCTATAGTTTTTAAATGATTTTCTACATATCATATGAGGCTGATCAAGGTACATTGTTAGTGGTACATCCTTTTTGTACTTGAAGAAAGGATATAGTAAGCTAGTCATTATTGCTTGAATAACAAGCCTATTGTTTGTTCAACGGCTTAAATGACTAGCTCACTACTTCCCTGTGCGCGCGATTTATGTTACTCTCTGCGGTATTCTTGACTTCCTCTGAGTATACACTTATAGAGCTTATCTGGTAACTTTCTGCATCATAAATTATTACATGTATCAGGGACGTTGCTATGTTTTTTGAGATATGAAAAAGTAGACTCTTGCCTTTAAGCGTCAACTTCCTTTTGAGCCATAAAAAGCTAGAGTTTTGCTATTTCATTTTTTCCTATGTAAACGGCTTACACTTACCAAATTATGAACACCGTGGCTAGGAGAAGAGTGTATGTACACAGCATAATAGTAGATGATTCAAGTTGTTTATATACAATGATAAATCAGGAAGAAAAACGCAGAAAAAGGATAAGCTCTTTCATATCTTTTAACTTGTCTTTACTGTTCTTTTGATTGGTTATTTTTGTCTATGCTCTTTATTTTTAGTCTTCTTTTTTGTATGAATAGCGTACTGTATTTTTATTAACCATTGACGTTAATTTTATAAAACATTGTCGTAAAATAAAAAAATTATTTACGTAAAAAGACGACAAAGAAAAATATGTTTGAATAAAACGACATCATATCAAAAGAGAAAGAGATAATGGGTATATGTAGAAAAAGAGAAAAAAAGTATGTTAGTATTAGAGCACATATCCTAATATTAGTCTTACTTACCACCAAGGTGCATTATGGGGAGGGTAGCGATAGCTACCCAGGAAAGTTAAAACAAAAAAAAAAAAAAGGAACGGAGGACAGAGAGAACCTAGAGCGTCAGAAGAGGCAATCGGGAGAACGTTTCAGATATACACGTCAGAGAGCAAAGAGGACGGACAAGCGAGTCAGAGCAAGGACCATGAGAACAGGCTAGTTTTGATTGGTGAATCTTTGAACACTTAGAGGGACATTTGATAGCTGCTGTAAAGAAGTAAAAAAAGGACTCAATTAAAATGGGTTTTTATATGCCTTTCAAACAAGCTTCAGGATCAGGTATCTGGAACAAAGAAATCATACCAAATAGGAGAAATCTACATGGTGATTATTTAAGAATATGTATTGCCAAATATGACTACATGCTCTGATTTCATGGAAAAACCGAATAAAGAATTTAAGCTTTTACAAAGACACTAAAGAGGGCTATTTCTAATACTAAGTTAATATTAACTCCAGGACAGCCCACCTGTTAATATTACTGTCAAATGGAATAGCGAGCCATATCCTTTATGTATTTGTTATTACTCTGATAACGTTACAACGGTTTCAATGCGACATTTAAATTTGGAAAGCACGACATTCAGTCTCATTACTTTTTGGAAATACAGTGTATCCATGGATGTCAAGGCTGGTACTTGAAAATGTTCTTGGCGACGACGAATTTACATTTCGTACAGCATGAATTTTGTTCTCACCGTTGGGTGCATTTATTTTCGATCACAGGCGAATTTGCTTTCCGGAAAGAGCGTATAGCCTTTAAAAATCTGCTTTTTTTGTCAAGTGACATGCAGCCAAATATTCAAGGTGAGTCCCAGGTGTTTCATGTGCCTTTTTCCATTTTTTCAAGCGTCATTTGCAATCATGCATGTCGATCCTTTCCTTTTGAATGAACACTGTATTATGGATTGATAAAAAATCAGCTGATAGCTGAAACAAAGTCTATATATCGTATTTACGTGCTACAGCTCATGTGCAAGCGAAATTCTGCACACTTTATCTGTGGGAATAGGTAAATTGGAGCAGTACTCGTATCAATGCTCATGCGTGTGAAGCTTTAAGGAGAAGCACGGCTTTATCTTGACTGTGAAGAAAGAGTATAGATTTTCAAGGCATAAAAAGACTGACATCACGATTACCATAAAATATAAAATAACAGAGACTCCCTCATGAGGTTATGTGATTTAAATAGTCACTTTTTTGCAAACTAAGCATGGTCAACTCTTTACACGTTCACTGCGAATGTGCCATCTCACTTTTTTCCCTTATTTTAAAATCCGAATATCTCTGCATTTTTTTCTCTTTTTTTTTTCTTCTTATCTTATTTAACATGGCGTCGAATGGCAATGCAGGTTCATTAGCAACAGAGCCTCACACTCAATATCAGTCTATTGGACCATCTGAGCTGGAAGAACAAGTAAATTAAAAACGTAATACTTGGAATAATCCTTTGTTTACACCTCCTTTTTTTTTTTTTTTTT